ATAGCTTGTAGAATAAAAACAGAAAAATAAACTTCTCCAAAGAATCGGACCTAGAAGCTCGTGTATAGAACAAATATCCGAAAATAAAGTCTAATAAATCGGAGATAATTACATGGATATAGATAAAACATGAATAATGACAAAAAAAAATGCTATTTTTTAATGGTTAAAAAATAAAAAATGCCTACAATTTTTAAGCAAATCATATCCAAACTAAAGTTAGTATGAGGAAGAGGTTAGATCTTCTTGTATGCTGCTACTCGCTTAAATTTGCCTTGAATCTAGCCTTCATCTCTTACGAACTTCTAAAATACATTTGTTTTCCTATTATTATGGGAGCTCATCTTCATGGCATATTTCTTTTCCGAACTTATTTCCCTATTATTATGGGAATTCAAATCATCTTCCGGCATATTTCTTTTCCAATTATTATGGGAACTCAAATAATGTAAAGTCATCATCGCCGCATAATAATGTAGTATAGATATAAATATGGATATTTAACACAACAAGACAAATATATCAGACCATTTTAAACCCAAATCATCTTCCTGATGTAATAACGTACTATGGATATAAATATAGATATGCAATACAAGACAAATATATCAGACCATTTAAAAGGAAACCACTCATGCATATGAAGATGACTATAAGCACAAAAACTCAAATCATCACGACCATAAGCATTAAAACTCAAATCATCTTCCCGGCATGATAATGTACTCAAATTGGGAGTACATAATTTACTTGAGAAAAAGTTCTTTGGAAATGAAGAGATAGATATTAGGTAACTTGGAGTTAGTAGATTTATTTCTTTAAAAAAATATTCATTAAAAAAGAAAAATACGTATCATCCATCTAGAATCCTCTCCTTAGTTCTCTCTATCTATTTTCTGTCAGATAGTTTATCCTTAAAATTGTGTGATTCGGGATGCAATTGAGTACACTCTATCCCTAAAGTAGGGTTCCTTAAAATTGTGATTGGTTATGGGATTATCAATAAAAAATCTATCAATTCCCTACTAATCCTTGAAGATTGATTCTCTCTGTATCTATACATAGGATATTGAAAGTCGGTAATTCTCTCTTCCTTGGTTGATTTTCTCTGTCTAAACTGTGATGGCCTCTCTTTGCTTATCAATGAAGCCTTCCCTGTTCTTGGTTTTCTCTCTCTACCTCGGCCTTCTTTTTTTATCGAAGGCAGCAGCATCAGATGAAAGGGGGCGGTATGTCGCTCTATTCAGCTTTGGCGACTCACTCGCCGATACAGGGAACCTGGTTCGCTTGGGATCGAGCCAGTTCTCAACGATTGCCAATCTTCCCTATGGAGAGACGTTCTTTCAGAAGCCCACTGGCCGGTGCTCCGATGGTCGCCTTATCGTGGACTTTTTCGGTACTTTCGCTCTCCTCTCTCTTCTTTTTCTCTCTCTACAATTCACATGGAAGATCCCTCTCTCATCTTTCTTTCTTGGGTAATTTATACATGCAGCTGAGGCACTGGGGCTACCACTTTTGCCTCCATATCTCTCTAAGGAGGAGGGTGAGCAGGACTTCAAAAAGGGTGTGAACTTTGCAGTTGCAGGAGCAACTGCACTCAAACAATCTTTTTTTTATAGTAAAAATATTACGGGTTTGGCGACCAACAACTCCTTTGGTGTGCAACTCCAATGGTTCCGCGACCTCTTGCCTTCTCTTTGTGAGCCCTCAGGTCTTTATCTTTCTCTCTCTTTTGTTTTTTTAATAATATGATTCTCTCTTTGCACTTCTTCCTGATTCTATTATGCACTTCTTTCTCTCTCATATTTTTCCTCTCTTTCTCGTATTTAAATATTTTTGAATGTGTAGACTGCAAGGAGTACATGAAGAAATCCATGTTTTTGGTTGGGGAAATTGGAGGCAACGATTACAACTATGCATTCTTTCAAGGCCGAAGCATAGATGCCGTCAAGTCTTATGTAGACGATGTAGTTAACTACATTATGGATGCAGTCACCGTAAGTAAAATCAAGACATGCACCATTTTATATACTGTTCCATAGAAAAATAATAATAATGATAATTAGGGTTTGAACCTTTGGCCTATCTCACTAAGTAATTAATGCCAATTATAATTTTTGTTTTATGTTCTTTTTTTATTGTTAAGTTGAATTGTTGGTGTTGTTTTCATCTATTTGTTCTCTCCTTTTTTCTTTTTTTTTCCCTTTGTTTTGTTGTACTTTTTGATAAAAATCGAGAATCGTTAACTATGTCCACATGCCAATTTAGGATTTTAAATTTTCAATAATTCAGCATGTCACCATGGGATAGGTATAACCCTTATTACTTTGATTCATAGATCATTCTAAGAAGAAACGATTTAGTGCTCAAAAAAATGATTGAAATCTATTTCAGCTCTAATTTCTTTGATCATGGATTCACAAAGTATTCATCATAGGTTTTTGTTTATCAACTTTGCCCCTTCCTTTCATGAAGGGGTGATTGTGAAGAAGGCATTGTTTAAAGACTGTTTTGGGCTTTTTTCAAGGCATTGTTTCAAGACTATTTTCGGTTTTTTCAGTGATTAGAAAAGCTTTCTCATTTGATGGACAGAAATTTCAAGGTGAATAAAAATATTTTGAAACTTTTTAGATCGTGAAACCCCTACATCTTTATGACTGATGATGGACATGTACTGTACTATGGATCCAGAGAACTTCCTTTTTTTTTTCTCTTGTTTTTTCTGTTTTTTAAGTATCCTTTTCCCTTTCCTTTTTTATTTTTGTTGAGTAGGATAAAATTAACCTTTTAATTAATGGTTGACGCAGGAGCTAATCCTTAAAGGTGCTGAGACTCTAGTAGTACCCGGGAACTTGCCAATTGGGTGCTCTACCAGTTACTTGACAGCTTTTCAGACATCTGATAAACAACAGTATGATCCACAGACTGGATGCCTCACACACTTGAACGACTTTGCCTGCCATCATAATTCGAAGCTCCAGGATGCAATCAAAGTTATGAGAGAGAGGTTTCCTCATGCAAGAATTATGTATGCTGATTACTACAATTCTGCCATGCGATTCTTCAAAAATCCAGAACTTTTTGGTACTTCCAACTCATCTCTGATAATCATCTCTAGCTTAACTTAAGCTTAGACTCATGTTTTTTAAAATTTGTACAGTTACAGAAATAATTATAGGGAAATCCGATATAATGTTAAGGGTTTTTATGTATCTATAGTTCCCACTTCATATATACATGTTTAATTTTTCAATGGGATTGGATGCAATGAGATTATTTACTTTTGATACAAGAAGATCACAATTATTTAGAAATCTATTAGCTTGGATGTGTCACCAAGTTCGAAAAACATTTCTATTGAGTTTGAGCTTGGTCAATGGAAAAATGTAGCCACTTAATTTCAAGATTAATTGTGATCACCTTGTACAAAAGATAAATGGTCTCGTCGCATGTTTTTCTTTTTTTTTTTCTCTTTAAGGGATATATTAATTATTTTTGGAAAACTAAGTTGTTGTGAGGCCATCTTTAGGCTCTAATAACTATGAACCTCAAAACTTCTCTTCAACTTATCTCATAAGACTATAAACTTGAATCTGAATCCATACTCCAACCATAATCACTAGAATCTGAATCCAAACTCCAACCATAATCGCTAAATTTGAATCTCAATCTCCAACCATAATCGCAAAACATCAGTTATCAAGGCATGGTAATCAGGATGTACTTAATATTTCAAACCTCAATTAAGTGCCCATTTCCATGTGCTGTGATTGCAGGGTTTCCTAAGGAGACATATCTCTCTGCCTGTTGCGGAGTTGGAGGCCAATACAACTATAATTTTGTAAAGACGTGCGGCACTTCGGGGGTTACAGTTTGCAAAGACCCATCAATGTATGTCAACTGGGACGGAATCCATCTTACTGAAACAGCTTACAAATCGATTGCGACCGCTCTGTTGAGCGGTTCATATATGGACCCCATATGGAGCTGAGCCAAGAGCCTAGCCCAACTAGATCAAATCTAACTGAGAAGCCAAATCTTATACATGCAACTCGTAGTTAGTGACGAGTTGTGAAGCTTTATTGGCCTATATAGAGATTCAGGATGATTTTTTAATTTTAGAATTTCTTTTTTTTTTTAAAAAAAAAAACCGGTTTATCTTATTGATGATTAATAAGTGTAGTTGGTCGAGAGTTTTCATTCGGAGAAGAGATTTAGTATGATTCTGTTTTGAAAGAAGATAAAAAGTCCTATTCATTGGGATCAAGATTGGCCCTTTTTGTAGTAAATTATTTATAATGTGAGTTGTGACATGAATTGCTTTATGTGTAATTTTAAGTGTTTTTTCTTTGAAAAATTTCAAAGTCAATCGTGATTATAAGAAAAAAAAAAAAAAAAGACGAAATATAATTACAAAGAAAATTGCTTGGAATTATTTAGGCCTTTTTATGGATCTTGTATTGAATTTCTTTTACCCATGTATCCTTTTGAATATCTATCAATATTTGTCCAGCAAATATCTTTTTGTACTTAGTTCATGAACGCCAGTTGTAATTTCATAAGTTGTAAATACTGATGCAGTCCCATTCAAAATGAGTGTCTCCAACTTTCCCTTTTAAATTTGAAAAGTCAAGATGCTGGGAATAACTTATTTCTTATTAAACCATAAAAGGAAGCATTTGGATTTTACTTCTTGTTCAAAACGGTAGGGCCCGTTTGGATCCTCGATTTTTCAATCCTAGAATTGAGATTTTTGAAAATGTATCTGGTAGAAATAAAAAAAATGCAATTTCACTGTTAGGATTGCCAAGAATATCTTTTTCTTGGAAATACAAATTCTCTCTCCCACTAAATTTTTTTGAGATAGTTTTTCTCTCTAAAATTTCTCTAAAATTTTAATACACTCTCTTTCGGGAACATAAAATTTGAAATAGTTTCTCTATCGAAATTTATTTTAAATAGTTTCTCTCTAAAAATTTTATATACTTTCTCTTTCTAAAATTGATTTAGTTTCTCTTTAAAATTTTGAGATACTTTGTCTCTCTAAAACTTAAAATTTGAGATAGTTTCTCTCTCTAAATAATTTCAGAAAGTTTCTCTTTCTAAACAAATTCAGGTAGTTTCTCTCTCTAAAATATGATATAGTTTCTCTTTTTAAAATTCTAAGGTACTTTCTCTATCTAAAACTTGAAATTTGAGATAGTTTCTTTCTAAAAATTTTAAGATAATTTCTCTCTCTAAGAAATTTTAGGCACTTTTTAATCTAAAATTTGATATAATTATATTCTCCAAAATTTTAGGATGCTTTCTCTCTCTAAAATTTAAATTTTGATATATTTTCTCTCTAAAATTTTTAGGTAGTTTCTCTCTCTAGAATTTGAATATACTTTCTTTCTCTAAACTTAAAATGTGAGATAGCTTTTCTATCTAAACTTTTTCAAATAGTTTTGCTCTCTAAATATTTCAAGTACTTTCTCCATCTAAAATTTGAAATTGTTTCTCTCTCTAAAGTTTTTAGATATTTTCTCTCTCTAAAATTCAAAATTTGAGATAGTTTACCTGTCTAAAAAATTTCTGGTAGTTTCCCTATCTAAAATTTAATATATTTTCTAATCTCGAAAATTTTAATATGCTCGCTCTATCTCTTTCTCTAAAACCTAAAATTTGATATAATTTCTCTCTAAATATTTTGAGATATTTCTCTAAAAAATTTTAACTAGTTCCTCTCTCTAAAATTTGATGTAGTTTTTTTCTCTAAAATTTTAAAATACTTTCTCTCTCTAAAATTTTAAAATACTTTCTCTCTCTAAAATTTAAGATTTGAGATTATTTCTCCTCTAAAATTTTAATATGGTGTCCATAATACTTTGAATTTGATATAGTTTCTCTCTCTAAAAATTTGAGATAATTTCTCTTACTAAAGAAATTGTATATTTTCTCTCTCTAAAAATTTATTATACTTTCTCTCTCTAAAATTTGATATCGTTTCTCTCTGTATAATTTTAATATATTTTCTCTTAAATATTTTTTTTGTTCTTCAGTAGGAAAATGGATCATTTCCATAAAATATCAATTCCACCTATTTTGGTTGAATTGAGATATCCAAAATTTAGATTTAAAATGAGTATTCAGGAATCCCATGAAATCTCAATTCCAATGAAAATGTCAATTCTAGCGAACCAACCACGATTAGTTTAGCTTTTCCAAAAAAAGTGACTCCTATATATCCGACTCCAATGAGCCAAATGGGCCCTTGGAGAAAACAAATGGTTGTCTAGATCTAGTTTGCTACAAGCACTATAGATGTGATACTCATCATGGGGATTCTCTCTCCATTGAAGACTTCAAAAGCGTGACCGCCCCTTTCTCCCCATTATTTTATGTCTCTCTTTCTCACTATTCTATCTATCTCTCTAAGCATGTACTCTCTCTCTCTACCTTAATCAGTCATTTAACCCTGAATATGAGAAAGAGTGATGATATATTGCCTTTAAATACTCAATAGAGACAGAGAGATAAAGTGGATGGCTAAAGAGAGAGATAATGGAGAGGGAGAGAATGATGAAACATTAGGGGAGAAAAGGCTGGCATGATTTTGAAGTTCTATAGGTAATATAAATACCAAACAGTTTAAAACTTAAACGAAGCTACGGATTCATGATATTATCAGCGTCAGATATATTAGGAATACTAGTTTTGGGGTTCTCAGCAATTGCAATCATCAATACTAGTTTTGGGGTTCTCAGCAATTGCAATCATCAAACAAACTGAGAGATTAAGTTATTAGGTGTTTCTGACATCATAAAGATCCTAAATGAAAGAAAATTAGAACATTTGGGGAACTTCCCTCTTGTCCGGGGTGGGAAATGTCGGATCGGGAGGCAATTTTGGAAATAAAATAAACCTGTAGCAAAGGGTGATCTCCACATAATTTCCAAATATTGTGGAGCATTTCATAATAAAAGGGGCCAAATAGGTTCTATACATAATTTTTCTAATTAAAAATTGAATTACTTAGAGAACATGTGAAAGAGTTCAATCCAATATAACGGATTAAATCAGCCATATATCAGCGAGGGGTTTTGTCCAATCAGAACCCAACAGGTAGAATTAGATGGACTAATTTTTAGAAAATAAAAAATAAAAATGATATTTTTAAAATATGAAATATATTACAAAACAATGGTGAATTTTGTTTAATCTATAATTGGTATAACCAATGGATCCGACTAGCCAAAACCAGTAAAGTGTTGTTTGTAATTAATATTTGTAATTAATTTACAGGCGATTTTTTCTTTGGACTCGTTTCGGCCAAGTTACCCATTAGCATTCATAACTCGGTCCCACCGGTCCGGTCAAGCTATGAAAGTTATGAATCAATGAGATACTAGAGGAATAAGGCGTGCTAATATTGAATGGGAGGGAGATCAGGGGGGAAGAGACCTCAAATCAAATATTTGCACTTGTTTTGGTTTTTCTTCTTTAATTTCTTTTGTAATTCCTATATTATCCCAATTTTCAATCCCTTTGATCTTTCTTTAGTCTATAACATGATAAGCTTGGTTGATAGCATACTGGGAAGCATACATGCAGAGAAGGACGTGAAAATTTCAAGCTACTTAATTCTCCTGAGCCCTTAGCCCATGAAGACCACTAAACTTGGGACTATGTTTATTTCAAATTCTATATTTTAGATCTTTAGCCCATGAAGATGTGTGTGCAAGATCATATCTTATAGATTATAAAAAAGGGACATGTTTTTACATGGCTCCAACAACATATAAATTATATACGACCTCACATTTTTGTAGTTCGATTCAAAATCAACAGTTACGATTGTTCATGCCACAATGTCACACTAAACACTATTTTATTTTTCATTTTTTTCTACAAAACATTTTTTAATGAAGTTTTGGGTGTCCCACATAAAATTAGGGTGAACCTGAAAAAACAAAAAACAAATATATCCCATAAAAATGAATGACCAAAATTTCCTGCAATATTCAGGGGTATTCTGGTAAGTTTTCATTACCAAAAATATGGTTTACTGCCCATGTTAGAACTCTGCATGCCTAAACATGAAAAAGGAAAAATATCTCCGTACCTTTTATATTTTGTTTTCATATCTCAATAGATCCAAAGATTTAAAATATATCTCCAAATCCCCTGACTAACTTTACCCACTTTTAACTATTTTTTTAGCCCTAACAAATATAAAAAGATATGATCATTCTTAACCCCTTCTATATATTCCCCCAAATTTATCTCTCTAACGTTCACCCTTTTTGTCTCTCTAACTGGGGAGAGAGAGAGAGTGGAAAAATAGGTAGAGAGAGAATTAGGGAAAAATCATGTGAAGAGAGAGAAATGATGGTCTTTAGAAAATATATATGTTTCTTATATTTGTTTGGGGCAAAAAAAAAAAGGTTTAAAGGAGATAAATTTAGCTTAGGGGGTTAAAAGATATAAAATTTAGAATTTTTATAACTCAAGATATATTTTAAAATCTTGAGTTTTTTGAGATATATAACTTAAAAATGGAGTTACGGAGATATTTCTCCAATAAAAAACTCTGAGCCATATGATCAAGAGCCAACTTGTAACATTGTCACTCAAGCCATCTCAGCCATTTACTAAGATCTTACGGCTGGCTTTTAATGTCACATATAACTATATATATGGGTAGGATTCCATAAAAAGTCATCATTAGAATTATTTTCCAACTATTTGGAGTCGGCCTTTAGGTATACAAATTATTTGAGATCTGCGGTAAAAAAATAAAAAGGAATGTATACAAACTGAAAAACGCGTGGAGCAGTGTAAAAAAATAAAAAGGAATGTATACAAACTGAAAAAAGCGTGGAGCAGTTGTACAGTTCAAAAATGGAGGTCGTACATGAAGAAAAGCAGGAAAACATTCAACACGTCTTCATCTATTCTATTCACACAGTATATATAGACAAGTACTTATCGTCCTCATAAAATAGAGAGAAAATAGTGCACCTATAAACAAGATGGTTGATGCTGCCTCATTGCAGCTCACCAGCCTCCCTCTCACATAAGGCTCTTGTTTTTCTATCCTCATTTCTCTGGACTCCAGTGGTTTCTTCTCCTGCTTCCATGAACTTCTCTTTCTTCCTGATTTTCTCTCTCTTATTCAACCTTTATCTCTCAGAGGCAGTGGCAGCACATAAAAATAACTATGCTGCTCTCTTCAGTTTTGGTGATTCACTTGCTGATACGGGAAACCTCCTTCTCTCTGGAGCAAATATGTTTCCCGGAAAAATAACCGACCTTCCTTATGGGGAGACAACTTTTAAGGAAGCGACTGGTCGGTGCTCCAATGGCCGTCTTATTGTCGACTTCTTTGGTGCTCTCTCTCTCTCCTCTCTATTGTTTGCTTTTCAACAAACAATGCATCTCCCCTCTTTTGTTTTAATGGATTTTGACACTCTTTTATCTTCCATTTTTTTGATTTTTTGTTTCAGCTGAGGCTTTGGGGCTACCACTTTTGCCTCCTTATCTCTCTAAGACACACAGGAAGAAGGACTTCAGAAAGGGTGTTAACTTTGCGGTTGCAGGAGCCACTGCACTCCAAAAATCCTATCTTGACAGGATGGGTATTCTTAATTTTGTGACCAATCAAGACTTCTCCCTTGGAGTGCAGCTCAACTGGTTTGAACAACTCCTGCCCTCTCTTTGTGACCCTTTAGGTGATTTTCTTCTTGATCTTGCTCTGATTGGTGCTCTCTCTCTCTCTCTCTTCTTCTTGGTTTATTTATTTATTTATTTAAGAGAACATCCCTCTCTCTCTCATATTCACACAAAATATATCCGGATGAGACCTCTTGATCCTTCGTTAACTGGAGGTGTTGATTTTGGGGTGCATTTTGGTGGTCCTGCGATCAAACCAAATTATACATTTGGTCCTTTTAAGGTGGCAAAGCACCCAGTTAGTTAGGAGATTGGGATGACCTAGAGATCCTCAAAATCCCCTCTGAAGCTGAATTGGGACCATCCATTCTGATGGAGGTTAGATACGGAAAATTTAGGCAAATGTGAGGTGTCAGTAATGGCATTTCTTGAAAAGGAAGGGGCATGAATAAAAATTTTAACTATGATCAACCCGTGTAAATATACATTAGATCAATTGTTTCATGCTGGCTGGTCCGCATTGTACGATATGCGGTCTAAAGGTATAAAGCATTCATTTTGAGGATAGCTGCAAATAGGTGATCCATTTAAAAACAATTGTAATTAACGATTCAAATATTTTTTTAATATAATTATTATTTTTTATTTTAACTAACGGTCGAATTTTATTTAACTTTTTAGATTCATGATCCCCATATTAAAGATTATATATTCTCTAAAAATTAAGATCAAATTATATTCAAAAAATATATTTATTGCCAGGCCCGTATTTGTATATGTGCAGGTTTGGCTACATGCTAACCACGTCCTATACATTATGGCTTTACTGTAAGCAATTTGGAGAGAGACACACAAGAAAACTGAAGAAGAACCCTTTGTAAAGAGGGAGATCCTAGAAAGTATAGGGCTTTGAGGTGAATGAATACCCTTGGTGAAGATTGAGGTACACCATTGGTGAAGGTGAGGTACTCTGCCAATGAGAATGATGGTAGATTGCTAATTTGACCGTTTCTAAGCCGTATGTCGACCAAAAGATGGATCCCAATAGTCGGAGTAAGATGATTTTGCTCAATGGGAATAAATGGATCATGCAATTAAAGATATGCATAATTTGAACTACTTTTAGATGTTTAATTTTTATAATTAAAGATAAAAATAAACTCTCACGCTGTCTCAAGAGATACCAAAATTGCATCTCACGACAAAGTTTGAGGTGCACCTTAATTGATTGGTTAAGGACTCAAAATCAATATTATCTCATGAAAATAATTATCTACTAATGAATGGATGGTGCTCAAAATCTGAGAATGGAAAACTCCTAGGTAGGTCTTTTGGCAACAGAGAGAGAAAAAGAGGGTAGTAATTTCATGCAACAGTCTATATATATATATATATAAGTATCTATAGTGTAGTGATTTCATTTAACATTCTTATAGTGAATAAAACATGCCTCCAAAAGCCATGTGAGGAGCACTTGTTTGTATCTATTTTTTTAACAAAGACCTAATTCGTTTTGAAAACAATCTATCCAAACTTCTTTTTTAGATCTAATGAACATATATACTGTCCATTTGATAGGATAATTAGATCTGTGGGCCTCATTCTTTTATTCCAATTTTTGTATATGGCCTTAAATTAGATGAATAATTTTGTTAAAAAAATTGATTTTGAGTTGTTAAAGGCCTAATTTTAATGTCCAGCAAATATAGAGCGACTTAAAGTAACGGTTTCCTAGATGCACATTAAATTATTTCCTTTTCACCATTAATTGTTGGAATGAGTAAAATTCGAGTACAATATTTCGGAATACAAATGGCATGAACATGGTTATTTTAGAATAGCAATTTTGTTGTATAAAAAGAAATTTGCTCCTATATCTTAAAATTTAAAATTACGAATATTGCCCCAAACTTTTGTATATTAGGTGCATATCCCTTTGACAATTGTTTTTCTTCTTTTTCTAATTTTACTATATCCCTGAGAATTAAAATCGAATGTCGCTAATTTTTTTCTTTTCTTATTTTTGTTTTAAAGTGATTTTATATATTGAAAATTTAAAGTCACTCTTGATTTTGGATTTTGAATATCTTAAGTTGAGTGGAAATCTCAATTACAATGCAAGTTCAAGTATAAAAGTCCAAAGTCAAGGTGACTCTAGATTTTCAATATCCGAAGTGATTTTGTTGTATTTCCCAAATATGTCGTTAAAAATCATATGAATATAGATATTAAAAATCCAAAGTCATTTGTGAAGTCAGGGGTAAAATTAAAAT